ATTTTTCATATATACATATATATAATATATACAAATATATGAAAAATTGATGTGGGTACTCAAATGAAAGGTCTTGATGAGTGTAATGTCAGGATGAGCTTATATCCTCAAAAATGTCAATAGTTCTCAAGATACAAGGTCATTTCTTAATTATGTATCTAGAAATTTAAAATTGTATAAATTAAAATTTTTCAGTTGCTCAAATGATTAAATCAGATCCAAATGTAATGGACTGGAGTCTTTGGATGTCAACATTAATCACAACATCAATGGCATTAATAGCTGCAGGATTATCAGCATTAATAGCAGTCCTAAATACAGCAACGACTCCCAGAGTTAAATTATTGTCTGTACCTGGTGTTTATATAATCAATAGCCTAACATGTAAGTACAATAAATATTATAATTAATTAATAAATATTTTAATATAAATAAATAATAATTAATATTTTTCTTATTTACAGTAATATTATGTATTACGAGTGTCAGTACGTGGTTGGCTCAATTCTATACAAAATTACAAAACAACGTTCTGCCAAAAGAGGATGTCGATAATATGTGGACGAGTGAAGGTTCCGCGGAGCTAGGATACTCCTTTTGGTAAATATAAATTACCATTTGTGTTTTTAGTTGCATTGTTTCATTCGAATTGTCACGCTCGAGGGACAACAATCAACAAAGACAGAAACGAAAGTTTCCTTTCTATTTATATTTTTTTTTATTTTATTTTTTAAATTGAATTTTTATCTTCAAAGTGCGAAAAAAAAATTTTTTTTTTTTTTTTCCGTAGGATGGTAGTTAGCGCCGGGGTTGTTCACCTTATCAGTATCGCTTTGGTTGGCTGGGGATCAGGAAGAGTTAAAGAAGATCGTATTGAGCACATACCTGCTTTAGAAGAAAAAACAGCTGCGGCCATAATGCTCTATTAATTTGCTTCTTAGTCTAGCGATGATGTCAAATTATTTTTATTTATTAATTTAAATTAATTGTGATTTAAATTTTTAAACTGTCATCATTTTTTTAACTATGGACAAATTTTTTAATTTTTATTGACAGTTTGTATTTTAAAAAAAAATGTTTTTAGTCATTTTTTAACTAGATAATAAATTTTATCAAAAAAAAATTTTCTATATTTATAATTAAAATTTGTAAAGATAAAAAAAATTAATTTTATAGTTTGACATCACCAATACTTTTAGATCTATTTATAATAATTGTATAAAAGCCATGTTTTAAATATTATTGCCAATTAATATATAAGTATTGTATTAATATTATCTATTTTTTATAATGTTTAATTTTTTTACCAATAAATAGGATTATTAATTGTAAATATTTGTTTGTTTTATTATTTTTTTACTAATTATTATTTAATTTTAATTTTAATAATACAAACACCGATACTGTGTATTTATATTTAGCGCTAAAATACTAAAACTACTTGCAGCGCCTCTAGTGGAAGATTAATTTTTTTTATTATTGTAGTTTGTAGTCACACCTAGTTGTTAGAGGCGATGAGACTTACAATAAACGTGCTAGTATTTATAAACAGAAACAAACAGTACTTATAACAAAGTTATATTTCATGATATTGATTAATTAATTGTCTTTTTAAGTATTTGCTATTCATATAAAAAAAAAATTAAATATGGTGGCTTGTAAATTTTATCAAGCTGGAAATTGTCGATATGGACAAAGTTGTCGGTTTGATCATATTAATAATTTTGGACGTCAAGGAAATGATAAATATGGAGAAAATAAAAGTATATCGTAAGTTTTTTTATTTTTTTAAATTAATTAATTCTTTTTATAGATACATAATTAAGAAATTACATTGTATCTTGAGAACAATTGACTTTTTTAAAGATATAAGCTCATCCTGATGTTACACTTATCAAGAGCTTTCATTTTAATACCCACATCAATTTTTCATATATATATATATATTATAGAAAAATATATCAAAAATGCATGTGGGTACTCAAATGAAAGCTCTTGATATGTGTAATCCCACGATGAGCTTATATCTTATAAAATGTCAATATTTAAGAAATTACAAGGCAATTTAACCAGAGTCATTATTTAACAAATTTCTTTACTTACACCTCACGAAGTGACTGCCACTTAACTTTTATTCTGATTGTAATTAAAAACTAATTTTTTAGGTTAGGAGTAGCTGAAGAAATATTAATAGCAGAACGTGGTAACCAATGGCCACTATCCTGTTTCGGTCCATTCAAAGAACAACCCTGCATTCCGGGTTTCGAAGACATCTCCCCAGAAGAGGTCCGCTGGGAGATGTACCAAGCAGAGAAAAACAACACAGTTGAGCAAGCAAAGCAGCAGTTCCACCAACTGTGCCAAGACGCAATGTCAAAGCGGAACGTCCTTAAGAACCCGACCATAGAAACCGCAAAAATGCTCGAGAAGCTCCACAAGGGCACCAGTGACCCTCAACAACCTTCGAACAACGTCCTGCGCGGAACCTTGTTCCCCTCTTCGGGAATCTTCAGTTCCCAGAACAGTTCCAGTCCGTTCACCACCAGGAACTTCACTCCCACCACTACATCTTTGTTCTCCAGCACAGCGACCTCTACGCCATCTATTTTCGGAACTAGCAACTTCTCAGGAACCCAAAGTGGCGGTTCCATGTTCGGTGGCGCCACCCAGCAGACATTTTCCCAACCAGCTCCAAGTGTGTTTTCAAGTAACAATTCCGGGAGTATTTTTGGTGTTCCTGGAACTGGAACCGCCAATAATTACGGAACAAACACAAATTTGTTCACCAGCAGCGCAGCGCAATCTCCGGGGATTTTTACAACTACTCTAGGCGCCACTAACACCTTAGCAAATCCTCTGTTCGGTCAAAAAAATACTCCCGCGTTTGGTGGCGCGCCAGTTTTTGGTGGAACTGCTTCGAACTTTGGGAACAATGTTGTTCCAGGTCTGTTCAACAAGCCCCAAGCTTCTGTATTTACTAATAATAATAATAATCCTCCCGCGAACACATTTGGAACCGCAGTTCCAACATTTGCACCCAATACAGCATCAAATTTTGGCAATAACTTCTTCAGTTCCGCGAACACTGCGCCGTTTAACTCTGGTTCCTCATTTGGAACCGGTTCCACTTCTGGAACATCGACTACTGGTGCTGCCACCGGTACTAAGACGACCCCTAGCAATCCTTTCGCATTATCCGGCCAGCCGTTCGTCAATAATCCCTTTGGAACCGGTTCTGGATTAGTGGCTGTTCCTGGAACCGCCAATATTGATCCGTATTGTTATTCGCCGCCAGAGGCGCTTACGGATGAGGAGAAGAGTTATTTTGCTGCGGATAAATTTATTTTGGGAAGAATTCCACTCAAGCCACCTAGTGTTGAAATAAGATAATTAATTTAATAAATTAGTTCTTGGAACTGCTGTAATAAATTCTAAGATTATAATAAACAATTGCAAACTGTAAATAAAATTAGGTTAAGCTTTTTTTATTGAAGTGAATGTTGGAACTTAAAAATAATGTCACTGTTTATTTATTTGTAATTTAAAGGAACCAAAATAAAAAGATGAAAATATGCAAGTGGAAATTAAAACTTGTTCCCGGTACTTCAAAAGACCGGCTATAGTTATACCTTCGGATAATATTAGACTCTGCAAAAAGCCGCTAGACGGAACCACTACTACTAGTTCTGCGTACGTTTATCATGCAGGTTATGAACCGGTTAGTAGTTTCAAGCCCAAGAGGAAATATGTTCCTAGTGGAACTAAATCTGCTAGTGAGACTACACATAAATTGAGTTACCAACCTTTGCCGATAGAACAACGGGAACCGTTCCCTTGGGCACAGAAAAAACCTTACAAGTAAGTTTTGTAATTTCAATAGTTAAGTTCCTGGAACTGGAATTCCTAGAACCAAAGTTCCTGGAATCGAGGTTCTTACAACAGTTCCTAGAATAAAAGTTCCTGGAACCTAAGTTCTTAGTACAGTTCCTAGAACCAAAGTTATGGGAACCGTTCCTGGAACCAAAGTTCCTAGAACTATAGTTCCTGGAACCAAAATTATTGGTACAGTTCCTAGAACCAAGGTTCTTAGAACAGTTCCTAGAACCAATTTTATAGGAACATAGTTCCTAGAACCAGTTTTATAGGAACATAGTTCCTAGAACCAACTTTACAGGAACATAGTTTCTAGAACTATAGTTCCTGGGACAGTTCCTCGAACTATAATTCTTGGAACAGTTCCTAGAACCAAAGTTCTTGGAACCAAGGTTTATAAAACAGTTCCTGGAACTAAAATTCTCGATACAGTTCCTGGAACCAAAGTTCTAGGAACAGTTCTTGGAACCAAAAAATTTTAATATTCTGTTCCAGACCTCCAAAAGCAGCACTAGACTCAAACACAACCTACTCCGAAAGTTTTCTTCCTGTAGGGAACGCCTCCAGATCTAGACCAATAAAACCTCGGCAAAATTCTGAATGGGTTAGAAAATGTCAGTTTGCCGGCACCAGTTCCTACAGCGAGGCCTTTGTTCCACTTCAGATGGAACCTGTGGTTCCCAAGATTCCAAGGGGGAACATTGGGTTCTCCAAAGACAAAATGGAGAGTGAGACGACTAATAAGTTGTCGTACAGGCACTGGGGGCCTCTGGCGAGAGAAAGCTTACCTTGGAAAAAGAAGCAGCCGTACCGGCGGCCCACTCAGCCCTTAGATGACAACTCCATCTATCGGAGCAGTTATGTAGCGCCTGAAGCTTATTGCTATGAAGAATGCGACGGACCTTCTTGCCCTCTAGCGGGGAACTTTGGAATGTGTCTAAATTAAAAATTTTTTTAGATATTTAAAAAATTATTTAGTATTTTAAAAAATAAAAAATTCACCAATATTAATTCTTAAGCTTTTATTTGCGCTAAAAATTAAATATTACATAATAATTTTTTTTTTTTTTAATATTTAATATCTAATTATATAATTTATAGTATGGCCGTGATCAAAATTTAACGTTGTTTTATATAAAATATTTATTTTTAATGCGTAGTTTTTAAGAGATCAGTAGTTGATATATATTTTAGATATTTTTCTTTGTATCTATAAAATTTTTTAAGAACATAACATTATTAGTCAAATTTTTACGCCAAAATTTTAAATAGTTCAAAACTTGCACCTGATTTTTTTTTGTCCATTTTTTTTCCAGTTCAATTTTCCGTAACCTGGTGAGTACTACAGATTTACCACAAATTACAATTTATTTAAATTTTAATTTTAATAAGTTTGTCTAAGGCACATGATTGTCGATAGAATCACTTTTTAAAATTACCGGTACTAAAATATTAATATTAATATTAATAATAATAATAGTTATAGACTATCTACAACTTTGGGACAAAAGTAACATAAAAAATAGCTTCCACGGGTGTTTTTTTTTTGGAGTAAGTAATGAATTAAAGGCCTCAAAAATTTTATAAAAAAAAATTCTATAGTTACAATTATTATTAACATTATCATTTTCAGTATTAGAAAAAAATTAATATAAAAAGCACCAAATATTTTTTCCTTTTAATTCATTACACTCCTTAAGGGGTTTTTTTTTTATATAAAATATTGGTTTTTTGTACGGTTATATTGAAGAGCTTCAAAATTTAAATTTTAGTATTTTTTTGGAAATTTTTATTATTAATTAAGCTGTCAATTTTGCTTTAATAATAATAATCATAATAATAAGAATAAAATCATTATTATTATATATATTATTAAGAGAAAAGAAAAAAATTTTGTATCCAGGATACATAATTAAGAAATGACCTTGTATCTCATGAACTATTGACATTTTTAAAGATATAAGCACACCTTGACATTATACTCATCAAGACCTTTCATTTGAGTACCCACATGCATTTTTCATATATTTTTCATATATACATATATATATAGTATATATAAATATATAAAATATATGAAAAATTGATGTGGGTACTCAAATGAAAGCTCTTGATGAGTGTAACATCATGATGAGCTTATATCTTTAAAAATGTCAGTAATTGAGAAATTACCTTGTATCTTGTCAACAATTGACATTTTTAAAGATATAAGCTCATCCTGACATTGCACTCATCAAGACCTTTCATTTGAATACCCACATCAATTTTTCATATATTTTATATATTTATATATACTATATATATGTATATATGAAAAATATATGAAAAATTGATGTGGGTACTCAAATGAAAGCTCTTGATGAGAGGAACATCAGGATGAGCTTATATCTTTAAAAATGTCAATATTTAACAAATTACAGTGCAATTTAACAAGAATCATTATTTAAAAAGCAAAATTTATTTATTTAAAGTTCACTATGGCAGTCACGAAGTGACTGCCATATTGATAGTTATCTTGAAAGTCAATAATAATAAAAATTTCCAAAAAAAAAAACTCTTCCCCGTAAAAAGTGACCAACTTATCCAGAGTGTTACCTAAAATACAAAGTAAAAGTAATTATTTTGGTGTGCAAACTGTATATACACTAACATACGTATTTTTTTTTTTTTTTTTATAAATAAAATTAAATCTAAATTTAATAATAACAATATTAATATTAATATTAAAAGAAAAAAGAAATAGCAATAGTCTTAGTATTAATTACTAATAAAAATAATAATAATAATTATTATTATTGTGGTTTGTACGATTGCATAAATTCATTGAATCCAAATCCATTGAGTGGGTCGAGGGCGAGATTTTCATCAATTGGCGGCATCTCAGAGTGGACCATAAGGTCCGAGTAGTCCATTTCTCCAGGACGGTCTCCAGGATTTGAAGATTGACCCAGTCCCGGAGCGTAACTGTACCAGAAACACAACCCCAATTAATTATTCTGGCAATCTAAATTTATTTTATTATTTTTTATGTTAAAAAAAAGATTTTTTTATAATTTTTTAATTATTATTATTATTTATTTTAAGCCGGATTAGCCGATACGACCAAAAAAAAAACAACCACAAGCGCGGACGGATTTTATTTATTATTAAATTAACGATTGCCAGTTTATAAATTGGAGTTGCGTCCTGTTTTTTTTTTTTTTTTTTTATAAAATTGAAATACTAAAAATATGTGGTTGTACCGGCTAGCTCCAGGCCTTAGTTAATTAATCATTAACTTTTTTTTTTTTTTTTTTAATTGATTTTTAGATGACCCGAAGCGATTTTATATTGAGGCGATAAATATATTTCGGTACAATTTTTTTTGTTTTTAATACTTGTTAAAATTTATCGCTTTTTTTTTTTTTTTTTTTTTTTTTAATATATATATATCTACTTAGTTTAGATAAAATAAATGTGTATAAAAAATTTGTAAATTCAGTATCAAAAATTATAATTATTAATATCAATGTAAAATACAAAAATAGCAGATTTTTTTTTTATTTGTGCGAATTTTTTAATTAAAATTTTTAAGATTCTGCTAATTTTTTGTATTAAATAACAGACATTTAAAAAAATTATTTTAGAATTTTTTTTAATTAAAAAAAATTAGTTAGAATTTTTAATAAAATTTTTTTAATAAAATTATTTAAAATTGTTAAAAAAAAAATAAAATGTCTGTTAAGAATACTTTTTCTTAAAAATACTACTTATATTAAAAAAAAATACTCGGAAAAATAAAAACAAAATAAAAAAATAAAAATAAAAAAATCCCGAGTATTTTTAAAACAAAAATTAAGCATAATGTGAATAATTAATTAATTAAATTAGTTAATTAATAAATCAAAGAAAAACGAATCGATTAAGCTACATCCAAGGAACTGACCTGGATGCAACAGACGGAGTATCACGAACAGAAGTGTCGGGGCTGTGCGCTTGGAACATATTCGAGGGCGTCGCGGGGTAGCTCCCGTGACCTTGGTTGCTTCCCACGCCGACTACTGATGAGTGGGAGGGTGTGGAGCCGCCACCTCCCGGGCCACCCCATCCTGGCACGTGGGTCACCAAAAGGGGCTTTACGTAGCCGTTGTTTGACGTCGGTTGACTCTCTGGAAAATTTATCATTAACAATTTATTAGAAATAATAATAATAATAGTAATTTTAATAATTTAATAAGAATAATAATTATAATCATCTATATTATTAAGAGAATAAGAAAAATTTTGTCTCCAAGATACATAATTAAGAAATTATCTTGTATCTATCTATCTATTGACATTTTTAAAGATATAAGCTCATCCTGATGTTATACTCATCAAGACCTTTCATTTGAGTACCCACATCAATTTTTCATATATTTTATATATTTATATATATCATATATATTTATATATGAAAAATATATGAAAAATGCATGTGGGTACTCAAATGAAAGCTCTTGATGAGCCTAACATCGGGATGAGCTTATATCTTTAAAATATATATTATATATATGTATATATGAAAAATATGTGAAAAATTGATGTGGGTACTCAAATGAAAGCTCTCGATGAGTGTAACATCAAGATGAGCTTATATCTTTAAAAATGTCAATATTTAATAATAAAGAAATCATAATAATAAAATTTTACCCGTAAACGGTGTGTAGTACCGCGCAAACGCTTGATCCTTAGAAATATCAGGATACAAATAAAGTAAGTGTTGCAAATCAGAAACTCGATCAGCTAATGAACGAATAGCAAAGTCCTTGCTGGTAAATGGCTGTAGCATAAACACTCCAGTTTGATCTAAAAAAAATCAATAAAAAATTAATTCAATTAATTAAAAGCACTTACTATAACAAACTAATTAAAAAGAAATTAATAAAATAAATGGATTTTTTATCTGACCTCCAACCCAGGCAATAGTGACCCCTCCAAGCTCAGAATCAGAGAACCTCATCAAGAAAGTACCACTGGGACAGCTGGCTAGCATCTCTTCAGCCTGTTTCTTCCTAACGAACCCCAGGATGAATCCCTCGGTCCAAGGACCGCGTAGGTGCTCTCTAGTAAGCTTCATCACGGCGTAGAACCACTCCCAGAAAGTGAAGTTCCTCTCTGGCAAAGGTTCCTTGCAGAACTGGGCCCAGCTTAACATCAAGTTGGAGTAATCCTGGTCGCCAGGGTAGCCACCTCTGAAGGCCTTCTCCGCGAGGAACCTCAAGTTGTCCTCCATGAGGTGTCTCCCGGTCGCGGACTTGAATTTGACATTGAGCGCCTCGGCGACTTGCGCCCAGGGAACTTTGTCAGGAACTGCGAAAGGAACGCGGCCCGGTTCCGCGAACGCGTTGTCCCAGGTGACGGTCGCCCACGCGTGAGGCTCCTGGTTCCCGTGGACAATAACCACCACTGGGAGGCTCAAGGTCCAGACTTGGAAGACCAGCTCTCCTCCTCCCACGCTGAACTGCGACTGGAACAGCAGCGAGAACTTCTCGTCCATCACAGACTCGGTTCCTTTTTTCTCAGCTCGCTTTATTTTCTTCAGCTGCATGTTGCGGAAACTCACGCTCAGCTGACGTGTTGCTTGGTGGTACTCCATTGTTCCGGTGTTGTTTAAAATTTCACCGCTAGCTTCTCCGCTTTTTGCCATTTTGTCGCTTTTTAGTAAGCTGTTTGCTTGCGCTTCACTTATTATGCTTACTTTTACCTAAAAAAATTTATTTTTTATATTTTTAATTATAATTTTTAATAATTATTGATTACTGATCAATTTTTATTGTCAAAAAAAATTATTTAGAATTTAAAAAAATTTTTATGAGTTAAAAAGAAAGTAATTTGACATTTTTATTTAATTTAATTTTTGAAAAAAAATTATTTGTAAAGAAAAAAAAATTTTTTATCAATTAATTTAGTAAAAAAAGAATTTTCTGCGCTTCATGTTTTAAAACAAACTCTTTGCTCGTTGCGCCAAACTCTACAACTCAAAAAACCCCCTCCAAATTTAGATAATCAAGTATATTGTCAATAGATGGCGTTGCAATTTCTATTTGTAAACTCTAAATTATTAACTATAATTTTAAATAATCAATTTATTAAAAAAAAAATTAATTATAAATTTTTTCCACTATTTTTTTGATAAAAATATAACTTTTTTTTTCTTCACTAATTAATGAGTTAAGTTTCAAAAGAGAATCTTTTTATTTTTGATTAATCGAGACAAAAAACTGGTTATCTTTAATTATAAACATTTTTGTTGAACTTTTTTAATTTAGCTATAAAGTGTTATCGGTTATGAAGCTACAATTCGATTTTGATTTAGAAATATTTATAATTCTCAAAGTAATTAATATTTAAAAGTTGAAAAAACTACTCTTTTGAAAAACAGCTCCCGAATTGTTCTCAATAATTATTAAAAATTTTTCATCACCAATATTAATAATAATAGTGGTGAAAATAGCTAATAAATAAAAATTGTATTAGTCTATCATCATGTGAATTAGGTAAGTTGGCTTAAAATAATAAATGCTCTTTAATAAGTAAAATCACCGATCTTAGGAATGCTACTGAATAACAATAATAATGACAACTAACCTGTGGAGGTGTCATATGAACATTAAGCTTCCCCCCAACCAGAAGCCTAACAGTGCTAGTAAACCTAGTATTAGTCTTCATAACCTGCGGAGGCTGTTTTTCAATAATAAAAGTGCTAGTAACCAACGAACTAAGAAGCTGAGTAATCGACGAGTTCAACTGCGGCAAAATATCCTGAACCCCTGGTGGATCCAGGGCCAACTTAAGTTTCAACCTTTCAGCTTCTTTGATCTGCTGTCTATTAAGCCAAATAAGTTCCGCCAGACTCTCGCACCACTCCTGAATAGAATCCAGAGTAGAATTAAAAGGTGCTCCATTTCCCGCAAGCTGCTGGTCTCTTTTCCAACGAATAAGCTCATCATCTAGAACCTTAGACTGCAAACTATTCAACTTGGTGATGGTGTCCTTGAGTTTGTCCGCTAGAGTGAGCCTGAGTTGCATCAAATTAGCCACCTTGTGGTTCAGCAATTGTTCCTGCTGCTCTTTTTGCCTTCGAATCTTCTTCTCGGCGTCAATGCTCTGCTGGTTCTGCGGGTGAGTCGCCAATTGCTGCAAGTGAGCGTTTAATTTCGTGCACTCGTGGTAGGAAATCGCAAAAGCTTCCTGCTCTTGCTCCATCTTCCTCAAATCTTCTCCAGTCTCTTGAGTTCTTCTGCGCAGAGCTTCAACCTGCTGGGCAATTTCAGTGACAGAGTCTCCAACCATCATTCCAACTCTTCCGTGAGCCATGCTCATCAATGCACCCCCCAAATTCTCCACCTGAGCCACCAGCTTCATCTCCGTTCCAAGACAGTGTCTGATTATCCGGAACAATGTTGTTGGGTTGGTGTTGTAACGCTGCCGGAACATCTTAGCCGCTTCCATAAGCTTCAACTTTGTCAGGAACAAATCTTCCGTTTGTAAGGAAGCGGCTTTCGACTCCAGTTCCTGGATCAAGGAACCGATTAGGCCGGATATGTAAGGCTCGTGCTGAGGATTGTCTGGCTCTATGTCCGCCCACATTTTTTCCTCGATCCATGCCGCTAGGAAGTGACGCACCTCGATTGGAAAATGCTCACCGTATACTGATCTTATCTGCTGCAACGCTTCTTGAGGGAGTTGTTGCGCTTTTGCCCACAACGCCATGTTTTTTTTAGATTTTTTTAGCGAGTTATTGATACTGAAAAAAATTTTTTTTGATTAGATTATTTTAAACTTTAATTTATAATAATTTATTTTTAATAAATATTTATTATATTTTTTTAATAGTAAAATTATTTAATTTTTTTTATTAATAATAACAATAATAATAATAATAATAATATCAATATTTTTTGAATTTTTATTATTATAATTAAATTTAAAGTTTTTTAGTAATGAAGAAATAATAACAATAATGTCAAAATTTTTGGAAATTTTATTATTATTATTATTAAATTTCAAATTTTTAGTGATGAAGAAGTAATAAGAATAAAAATAATAATAATAATAATAATAATAATAATAATGTCGAGATTTATTATTATTATTATTATTATTATTATTATTAAAAACTAAAAAATTGTTATAACAATAATAATTTAAAAATTTTTCTAAAAAGTAAAAAAAATACTTATTAAAATATAATTTTCCAAATTTGAATATCCAAACAAAATAAAAAAATATTTTATCAATGCTCATGACATTCTAATCAGCTAAGTAAGTATATATTTACATTTTTTTTTTTTTTATCAATTCCTGGAACACACTAGGTGAATTGTTTACTTATTTCCAGTGATTTTTTATCGAGTTCCAGGGATTACACTATTAGAAAAATTATTTACTGCAATTTTATTAATAAAATTTTTTCTTTTCAAATATTCTACCTTTAAAAAAATTTTTTTTTTTTTTTAAATTAAAAATAAAATTAAAAACTCCCCAAAACTAATTGCAGCACTACTTTCTTTTCTTAATTTAACTTAAGTACTTAAACCCACAATTTTAAAATAAAAAAATCTATCCGAATTGTTATCTACCACCTCCAGGACCTACGACAAAACCCATAGCAGGTAGAAAGTCCACACTATATAGTATACCATGAGCCAGACGGAGTACAAATAAATAAAAGTACCAGAACGAGACCTTCATGCGGCCTTGGATCTTACTTACATACTAGTAAATTTAACCATACATACCCAACCTTAAATTTAATTTAATTTTTTTTTAATAAAAATTTATTTTATAATTTTATAACAATATAAAAAATTTGCTAATTTTAATAAAATTTTTTTAATTAAATTTATTAAATAAAATCATCAAGAAAATTAAAAAAAAATTAATAATAATAATTATTATTATTTTTTAATAAAAATTTATTTAATTATTTTAAAACAAATTCAAAAAAAATTTTTTTAACTAAATTTGTTTTTTAAAAAATAAATAATTCTTAAGAAACTTTAAATAATAATAATAATAATAATAATAAATAAAAAGCTGTAAATTGAACAGTGACGGGTGACGTCGAATGACGTCTTTCAAATAATGTACGCGATAACTAAAATATAGATAAGATATTAATTTTCGCCACTTTGTATCTATATATATATATTTATATGTTATTATTATTATTATTAAAAATTTATTATTGCACGTCACTTAGCACCAACTAAATAAATATAAAAAATAAACTAAAGATTTTTAATTATTTTATTTTTAAAAAAATAACCTTCATTTTATTTTTCAGCTTACCTCTGATGGGAGTCACATTAAACTGGCGGGATTCGTTTTTTTTTTCCACGACTATAATATATATTTATGTATATTAATAATGGACACTGGACACTCACTTGATAATTAAAAAAAAAAAAAAAAAAATACTTTTTTTAATTGTTTTATATTTTATTTAATGGATAATTGTTGATTGTTGGATTGTTGCACAGTGGAGGATTTAGTTGAGATTGAGAGGGACAGAATGAGAGCTAAGAAAGGTTGTCGGTTTTTTTAGTGCGTCGCCTAACCCGTTGGTTCTCGGGCGAGCTAGCGCGGCGAAGTGCAAGGCGTAAGCCGATTCTTGGAATTTCGTACCGTAAGTATTCGTGTCGGAAGAATTATGGGGGAGGTCACGTGGTGTTCTTTACCGGGAATTGTTGCGCATGCGCAGATTAGAGGAAAAAGGAATGTTGTAATATACGCGGGAAGATTTAAATGTGAATTTTTTTATATTATAATAATAATAAATTTTTAATAAAAATTTATTATTATTAAAATTGTGAATTTTTTTTTATTAATAATAATAATAATAACCACTTTTGTTAAATTGCACTGTACTTTTTTAACTATTGACGTTTTTAAAGATATAAGCTCATCTTGATGTTATACTCATGAAGAGCTTTCATTTAAGTACCCACATGCATTTTTGATATATTTTTCATACATACATATATATAATATATATAAATATATGAAATATATGAAAAATGAATGTGGGTACTCAAATGAAAGGTCTCAATGAGTGTAATGTAAGGATGAGCTTATATCTTTAAAAATGTCAATATTTCACAAGATACAAGGTCATTTCTTAATTGTGTGATATATATAATATATATTATAAAGATATAAGCTCATCCCGATGTTACACTCGTCAAGAGCTTTCATTTGAGTACCCACATGCATTTTTTATATATTTTTCATATATAATATATAAGTAATATATATAAATATATAAAATATATGAAAAATTGATGTGGGTACTCAAATGAAAGGTCTCGATGAGTGTAATGTAAGGATGAGCTTATACCTTTAAAAATGTCAATATTTTACAAGATACAAGGTCATTTCTTAATAATGTATTTTTTCTTAAATTAAATTTCTAATTAAAAAAAGAAATAATTAAAAGTCAGCTGATTTCAATATCCTTAATAATAATAAAAAAAACAACCAGCTGACAAAGAAAATGTATTACAAAAAAAAAAAACGTCTGCTAAAAGCAAACAATAAAAATACTCAACTCATGCGCATTATAAATGAACTACAAAGCTTAACTTTAACATCAGTAATAGAATCCTGTATATTTAATACCACATTCTCTAACTGCTGACAATTCTCCGGCATTGTCTCAGTTGATGTTATCTACTTACACCTGCACCTGTGCAATTTCACTTACGCCAAATTCTGATGGTGTTTTTCAGAATAAACTTTCTGATTCTAGAAATAAAAACCTAAAAAAAAAAAAATAATCATCATAATAAACAATACTAAAAAAATTAAATTAAATCAATAAAAAATTATTATACTCACTGTGATCTGTCTAGAGTCAATAAATTAATTACATTCAATTAATCACATTGAAATATATTTATATAAAAATTTATTCAGCTGATAAATTTTTAAACATCACAGTTTTAATAATAATTTATAAAATTAAATATTTTTATTTTTAGTAAACTAAAGTAATTTTTTATTTTATTATTTTAAGTATTTTTAGTATGTATAAAAATAATACTTATTTCATAATTAATTAAATTATTGTTTTTTGGGTAGTTGCTGTTAAACAGCAACTTTTCTGAGTATTAGTGGTGGAAAGATGAGGACAAATGCACCGATTAAGTATGTTGATGCACTACCGATACTCCAATATGCTGAAAAACAAATTTTTATTAATTAATAATTTAAATATTTATTAAATTTATTATAATTATAAAAAAAAAGTGTTATAATAATTAATTTAATTACCTAGTGATGCAACAATTGGACCACAACTTCGAGCTAATGCTCCTAAAGACCGAAAAATACCAGTAATTGTTCCTTTTTGATTTTCTGGTCCTATTTTTGAGACTATAGTCATCATACATGTCACTGCAAATGCTGTTGCTAAAAAATTAATTATAAATTTTAATATTAATAATTAATTAGATATAAATAATTTTTAAAAAATTTATTAATAAAAATTAATATTTTTTTTTTAATTAAAATAATAATAATAATAATAATAATAATAAACTTACAAAGTGAGAAAATAATAATGCCAATATAAAGTGTAGTAATACTGTTAGCTACCCCTATAAAAATAAATGCGGGTATAACTAGCCAAAGTCCCTAAAAAAAAAAAAAATAATAATAATAATAATAAAATAAAATCAAAATTAAATATATTTTTTTATAAATAAAAAAAAAAAGAAATTAATATCAAAATGAAAGTTTTAAAAATTCTTACCAATTCACTGTAAAATTTGGTTTTGCCAGCAGGAATACGCCTAACATAAGATCCCTGAAGCAATGCCATAGTAATCCCGATCACCAGGAACATGTATCCCTGCTGCATACTGGTGAATCCAAAAAAATGATGAGTTAAAAATGTTAGAGTGAATTCCAGTCCACTGTAAATAAACAAGTACAAAAAATAACTGGCTCCTAATGTCCTCAAATTTTTCAGCTCTGAAAAAATAATTACAATTAATTTTTCTACAAAAATTAATAATAATAATAATAAATTTTTCTATAATAAAAAAAAAGAATTTAGTTACCTGAAGGCGCAAGACCAGCTACGCCATTAAATAAAAACAAATCTACAGGATTGATGTAAATAAACGCGCCACTGATACCTCTAGCCAGAGATTTAGCGCGTCTTTTAACCGAAAGAGTCTCTTCAAAGGAATTGATGACATAAATTAAGTCGACTAGTGACAAAAAAAAGGCAAACATAGCTGGATAAATGTACCAGTAGCCTTCACTGGTGCTTATTTTAGTGAAGATCACTCCGATCATTGGTCCAATTATGAATCCTATGGAGAAAGCTATTCCCACTAGCGCCTAAAATTTTAATTAATTAATTATTTAGTTTATTAATTAATAAATTTATTTATTTAATCTTAATAAACTGACCATTGATTTTCCCCGAGTCTTAGGAGTCGTCACGTCGGTAATGATCGCCATGGACAAGCTGATGTTACCCTTGCTGACTCCTCCGACGAATCTCGCCAGGACGAAGATGATGAAGTTGTTTGAAATTGCCCAGAGTAAGTACGACAAGGAAATTCCAGTCAAGCAGATGATCATCATAGGCTTTCGACCGTACACGTCTGATAACGCTCCTACTATTGGCATGCATAGGAATTGCAAGAATGAGTACATTGACCCTAAGAATCCTGAAAGAATTAGAATATTGTTATTATTTTTACTATTATTGACATTTTTAAAGATATGAGCTCATCCCGATGTTACACTCATCAAGAGCTTTCATTTGAGTACTCACATGCATTTTTGATATATTTGTCATATATTCATATATATGATATATATAAATATATATAAATATATGAAAAATTCATGTGGGTACTCAAATGAAAGGTCTTGATGAGTATAACATCAGGATGAGCTTATATCTTTAAAAATGTCAATAGTTCACGAGATATAAGGTAATTTCTTAAATACTGACATTTTTAAAGATATAAGTTCATCCTGATGTTCCTTTCATCAAGAGCTTTCATTTGAGTACCCACATCAATTTTTGATATATTTTTCATATATACATATATATATAAATATATAAAATATATGAAAAATTGATGTGGGTACTCAAATGAAAGGTCTTGATGAGTGTAACATCAGGGTGAGCTTATATCATTAAAAATGTCATTAGTTCACAAGATACAAGGTCATTTGTTAATTATGTACCTTAGACACAAAATTTTTCTTATTCTCTTAATAATATAAAACTTACCTCCAAATAAAACACTGCTGAACCTATCAGGTGCTTTAAGAATTTCCTGAATGCCTTTGACATTTCTCAAAATCCAAGAATACAGTCCGTTATCATCAGTTTCCTTGTAATAGTCCAGCAGAGCCGGGAGTAGCGGCAAAATCATAGTAAACGCCAACAAGTCAATAATAAGTGAAAAAAAAACAATCCGGATTGTTTTTTTATCTTTTTCTTCATAATTTGACATTGCTAATTTTTCATCATTTCTCTCCATGGTTATCAGCTGACTGACTTTCCTTTATCAATCATGAGTAAGTAGCTAAGATAAAAATAATATCACTTGCACATTTTTAAATATTTAAACAACTGAATTTAATTAACATTTCTAAGGAATTTAAATTTATTAATAACTTACATATTTTTTTAAATAAATTTATTTTAAGATTGTGACACTCCAACTAGCCCATCTCAGACCTGAGTGAAAGTCTGGAAGAAGATTCAAGAATTACCCGTTAGTTTTAAAGTGAAAGGTACATTTTATTTATTTTTATTTTATTTCTTACCTTTTAAATTACTTGCTCACATGTTTGCTTGTTATTATTATTATTGACAACTGTTGTTGAAGTTACAACAGTCGGTACTGTGTCTACTGTCTGTCATATATATATGTTTTTTTTGCAATTTTTAAAATTGCAAATGGCGGACTGAGGTATGAAGTTGGCTGAAAGTGACTTTTTTAGTCCACAGCTGACTTCAGAGTGATTAAGAATCAAATTTTAACGGTTTAACATAAAGTTTTAAGAAAAGTGACAGGTCAAAAAATTAATTACAATTTTTTATTTTTATAAATATTTTGATAATTGCGATTTAAATAATTAAAAGACAGTATTTAAGTATAAAATTTTTTAATTTGTATTTTTACAAAATCAATTTATTTAAGACACAGGTTGAGTGATATGTAAGAAATATTTTTTTATAATTAAATTATTATTAAAAATTTTTTTTAAAAATTAAAAATTGACAGCTTTCAGCTGTCAATATCATTAATTTAAATATTAAGAAATTGAGCTTGTATTTTGTGAACTATTGACATTTTTAAAGAGATAAGCCCATCTTGATGTTAGGCTTATCAAGAGCTTTCATTTGAATACCCACATCAATTTTTCATATATTTTATATATTTATATATATTATATATATAAATATATGAAAAATATGTAAAAAGTGCATGTGGGTACTTAAATGAAAGCTCTTGATGAGTGTAACATCAGGATGAGTTTATATCTTTAAAAATGTCAATAATCAAGAAATGACCTTGTATTTTGTGATCTATTGACATTTTTTAAGAGATAAGCTCATCTTGATGTTAGGCTTATCAAGAGCTTTCATTTGAATACCCACATGAATTTTTCATATATTTTATATATTTATATATATCATATATATGTATATATGAAAAATATATCAAAAATGCATGTGGGTATTCAAATGAAAGGTCTTAATAAAAGGAACATCAGGATGAGCTTATATCTTTAAAATACATATTATATATATGTAATATACATAAATATATGAAAAATTGATGTGGATACTCAAATGAAAGCTCTTAATGAGTGTATAAATATTTTTTTGATAATTAAATTACTATAAAAAAGTATTTAATTAAAAAATTATTAATAAAATTCTTCAAATAATTTTATAACATTAAAAATATTTAAAAAATTTAAAAGAAAAAAAAAATCATAAATTTTTATATAAAAAATTAACAACTGTCTAGTTTCAGGATAATGAGTATTAGACATTTTAAATCAGCACTGGACGGATTTGTATAAATAATAGTCATGGTACGTATTAATTGTATAAATTAAAAATTAAAATTAAAGTTTCTCGCCACTTAAATTGAGCACGTTGTAATAAGAGTGATCAGGAAACCTATCAAGCTCAATATAGTCAATTTCATCTAGCAAAAGTCCCTCAGCCATGGCAACAAGCTCACTAAACGAAGGCCTGCATGAGGGATCTTTGTCCCAGCAGTAATACATTATATTATACAACTCTCTTTTGCAATGCTCGGGTCTCTCCAGCCGGTAGCCTTCTTTGATCTTCCGCATTACCTCTGCGGCGCCCATTCCCGGATAAGGAGTCGAGCCTAGAGTTACTATTTCCCATGTGAGTACTCCAAAGCTCCAAATGTCGGATTTTACTGAGTACATATTGTCGTAGAGACTTTCGGGTGCCATCCACCTGATTGGTAGTCGCCCGTCTGATTTACGCTCGTAGATTTTATTCGCTGCGATGTCTCGAGCAAATCCAAAGTCAGCTATTTTGCAGAGTCTGTTGCTGTCAATAAGGATGTTTCGAGCCGCTAAATCACGGTGGATTATTCCTTTTGAGGCTAAGTACGCCATTCCTTTGGCAATCTAATATTTTTAAAATATCATAATTTAGTAATGACCTTGTATTTTGTGAAATATTGACATTTTTAAAGATATAAGCTCATCCTGATGTTACACTCATCAAGACCTTTCATTTGAGCACCCACATCAATTTTTCATATATTTTATATGTTTATATATATATTATATATATGTATATATGAAAAATATATCAAAAATGCATGTGGGTACTCAAATAAAAGCTCTTGATGAGCGTAACATCGAGATGAGCTTATATCTTAAAAATATATATTACAAAATTTAGAAATGACCTTGTATCTTGTGAAATAATGACATTTTTAATGATATAAGCTCATCCTGAGATTACACTCTTCAAGACCTTTCATTTGAGTACCAATATGCATTTTTGATATATTCGAGATGAGCTTATATCTTAAAAATATATATTACAAAATTTAGAAATGACCTTGTATCTTGTGAAATAATGACATTTTTAATGATATAAGCTCATCCTGAGATTACACTCTTCAAGACCTTTCATTTGAGTACCAATATGCATTTTTGATATATTTTTCGTATATACATATATAAATATATAAAATATATGAAAAATTGATGTGGGTACTCAAATGAAAGGTTTCGATTAATGTTATGTCGGGATGAGCTTACATCTTTAAAAATGTCAAGAATTAAGAAATTACCTTGTATCTTGTGAACTATTGACATTTTTAAAGATATAAGCTCATCCTGATGTTACTCTTATCAAGACCTTTCATTCGAGTACCCACATCAATTTTTTATATATTTGATATATTTATATATATTATATATATGTATATATGAAAAATATATGAAAAATTGATGTGGGTACTCAAATGAAAGCGCTTGATAAGTATAACATCAGGATGAGCTTATATCCTTAAAAATGTCAATATTTAAGAAAGTACAGTGCATTACCTGATGAACAAATCCAGTAAGATCCCTAGATGTCAATCCAGGTCTCCCAGAGTTCTTTTCTTCCCTCATGTTTCTTAAAAAGCTCTGCAACTTTCCACCACTGATGTACTCCATGATAACAAATATCGGTTCGCGTTCTGTACAGCAGCCCAACAGTCTTACGACATTCGGATGCGGCTCCAGAGTCTTCATAACAGTCAACTCTTGAGCCAAGTCTATTCTTTCCCTTTCAGTGGCATTTTCTTTAAGAGTTTTTACAGCCACCACCGAAACTCCAATCCCGCTGCCATTTATATCAATTGCTTCGCATTTCCATACTTGACCGAAGCACCCTTCTCCCAGGATACAAAATACCTAGACATTTATAATATTATTGCTCAATTTATTTATTAAGTAAGAAATTTTAAATAAAAAATTGAACAAACTTTAAGTCTGTGTCGTGGAAATTCCCACTCGTCTTTCTTCGTAGATTCTTTTGAAGATTTATTCCATTCTTGGTACTTGTTAGAACTAAATTTATAATTATGAAAGTTTTTTAAAATTAATGACGGCTCGTTCGATGACGACATGTCTGATACTTTAACAGCCAACTCTTTCTGAAAATTAATTGAAAATTAATTATTAATTAGTTAATTAAAATTAACTCAAAAATAAAAAATTTCATTATAAATTCTTACATTAAAAATTAAAAAAAAAACACTTACAGGATGTTTTGATTTTTTATGAGAGCAAATTTTTCTTCTTACAGACCAAAGAGCCATTCCAACGATCAAAATGACAGCAACAATCGCTGATATAGTTCCAACAGTAGTCATTGTTATATTTTTATACGAGTAAGTACTATCTTGAACACTTAGACTGTCCAACGTGCTAGTATTATAAACACTAGGTCCAGATGTCATACTACTGCCATTAATAACTTGGTTAACATAATTGCTGATATTTATTTCAGCTGGTCTTAAAACAGTTGTCTTCTCTTGAGTGTTGGTTGAATTTACAGGCCTGGGAAATGACGGAAGCTGTGAGTTTGAAAAGTGAGCCAGAAAAGGACTCCGCATTGACTGGTGATTCAATCCTATGTTGAAATTTTGGGAATTTTGAGAGAATGGTCCATTGTTGTTGTTGTTATTTGTGGTGGAGGTTGATGAGCTGTTTTTTATGACTACATATACTTCATTTTTGGCAGTCAATTTTCCATCAGAAGCTGTCACGTACAAAAATAATTTTTCACCACCCTGGAAAATTAAATGGAATTATTTCTGTTAAATTGCACTGTACTTTCTTAAATCTTGACATTTTTAAAGATATAAGCTCATCTTGATGTTACACTCATCAAGAGCTTTCATTTGAGTACCCACATGCATTTTTTATATATTTTTCATATATACATATATATGTAATATAAATATATGAAAAATTGATGTTGGTATTCAAATGAAAGGTCTTCATAAGTGTAATGTCGGAGTGAGCTTATATCTTTAAAAATGTCGATAGTTTACAAGATACAAGGTCATTTCTTAATTATAAAATATATATTTTAAAGATATAAGCTCATCCCTATGTTACCCTCATCAAGAGCTTTCATTTGAATACCCACTTGCATTTTTGATATATTTTTCATATATATATAAATATATAATATATATATAAATATATAAAATATATGAAAAATTGATGTTGGTACTCAAATGAAAGGTCTCGATGAGTATAATGTTAGGATGAGCTTATATCTTTTAAAATGTCAATAGTTTACAAGATACAAGGTCATTTCTTAATTATCTATCTAGAGATAATTTTCGAATTGACTATTGATCAAAGAATTTTAGTATTAATTTTTTATAAAAAATAATTTCAAACACTTACTCGGCCTTTTAAAGTATCATTAGTAACTATTTCTCCAGTAAGACTATTAATAAAAAAAGGCAGAGTTGTTGAACCAGATCCAGCGAAATCACCATTAAAATTATGATCTAGCGCTTCAAGACCATAATTTAATTGATCCTGCTCATTGTCCTTGGCATGGACTCTGGTGACAAAAGTTCCTTTAGGCGCTGAGTCGAGGAGAATCCAATTTCTGTCCAGAATCATCACCGGCGGGGTATTGTCGCTCAGCTGTCCATCTAAAATAATCATCACGTTATTTTTTATAATTAAATTTTTACATAAATATTTCCTATAAATAATAATAATAATAATATTCTTAGTGTAGTGGAAGCTAAATATTGTTTTGCGTTCAAGCTTTAACGTTGAACTGTATGCACACAGAATAAGAAAGTAGGCCAACGAAAGTATGACTAAAAGACATCCGTTTTACCAGACAGGACACAAGAATGAGAGAGAAAAATTTTGTTTTTAATTTTATTTAAACCAATAACTTTAACAAAATAATTTTTTGTATTTTTTAGTTTTATTAATAGTCTTCATAGTATCATCTTTTTTAAGAGAATATTTATTTTTTGCATTTAATTAAGTATTTTTATGAGGATCCAAGTTCAAGGTTTTTTTATCTATCTCTCTTTCTTGGTCTTCATTATTATTATTATTATTATTATTATACATTTTTTTTTTGATTCTTGCCCTCTCACTTTTTCTGTGGTAGTAGTACCACTTTCTTTTCATTATCAAAGGTCATTTCATACCTATATTTTATTATTATTATTAATGCAAATATTTTTGTGGTTTTTATAATTATAAAAGTAAAAATTTTATTATTATTATTATTATTATTATTATTATTATTATTATAAAATGTCAAGTTTTTAGTAATGAAGAAATAATAACAATAATGTCAAGATTTTAAAAATTTTTATTATTATTATTATTGAATTTCAAATTTTTAGTAATGAAATAATAATAACAATAATAATATCAATATTTTTTGAATTTTTATTATTATAATTAAATTTAAAGTTTTTTTAGTAATGAAGAAATAATAACAATAATGTCAAAATTTTTGGAAATTTTATTATTATTATTATTATTATTATTATTATTATTATTATTATTAAATTTCAAATTTTTAGTAATAAAATAATAATAATAATAATAATAATAATAATAATAATAATATCAATATTTTTTGAATTTTTATTATTATTATAATTAAATTTCAAGTTTTTAGTAATAAAATAATAATATTTGTTGAATTTTTATTATTATTATAATTAAATTTCAAGTTTTTAGTAATGAAGAAATAATAATAATAATAATAATAATAATACTGTCAAGATTTTTACAAAATTTTATTATTATTTTTATTATTAAAAACTCAAAAATTGTTATAATAATAATAACAATAATAATAATAATAATAATAATAATAATAATAATAATAATAATAATAATAATAATGTCAAGATTTTTTGAAATTTTATTAAGTATTATTATTATTAAAAATTAAAAAATTGTTATAATAATAATAACAATAATAATAAAATTCTTACTATTATTATTATTATATCAACTTTCATTACAGCCATATATTTTTTCTAAAAATTAAATAAAAAAATCTTAGTATGACATTGACCTAATTTCTTCTCTCATAATTAAAAAAATATTAAATAAACTTCCTCAAAAAATATCTTATCATTTAAAACTCCAAAAAAAAAATGTATCTACTGATATACTCCTAAATTAATATAATAATAATAATAAAGAAACATAAAACATAATTAAAAAATATCTTACAGGTAAAAGTCGCTAGAGCGACGACAATGATCCATCTTATGATCATTGCACTGCATTTACAATCCAGGATGTCAGGCAGAAATATTATTATTATTCCACAACAACATCAACACTAATAAAAATAAACTGTCAGTTTTTAAACGACCTACTTAATAGATAGTTTAAATTATTGATTTTATCAATCATTATAAATCCGTCATTATTTAACACAATTTTTTTTTAATTTCCTAAAATTTATTATTTTAAATCACTTGACATATTATCAGAAGAAATGTCAAAATTTTTTATTTTTTCATCAACCCATTTGTATTAGTTTAATTTATTCACTTTTTATTTTTTATTATTCTTTTTATCCAAAATAAAAAATTTTAAAATAACTTTCAGGTGATCAAGGAGTAGACTACTGACTACTTTGATGTTGATGAGAGTTACAGGTAGGAATATTAAATATATATATCACGGATATGCACAACCACCTGTTATTTAACCTCGTGTTTGTGTTTTCTGTTTTTCCTGTTTTCTACTCATGAATTTTCATATTAACACTCAGCGCCTCTAGCGGCTAAAAATAAAACTATTTATTAAGCGCTCCTTTAAATTGTCACTGCCGAAAAAAACCTTACAAATAAAAAAAAACAATTTAAATTTATATTTATAAATAAAATAAATATTAAATATAATTATTGACATTAAATTAATTTTTTAAATAATTTTAAAATTAATTAATTTAATTATTTCAATAATAATAATAATTTTTTTTAAGTGCTACTTGTGCTACTGACTGTTGGTGCTTTGTAAATAATTTATTTTATTTATTTTTGGTAAGTTATTATTATTTTTTAATTAATATTTAAATTTAAATTAAGTTCATTTTTAAATCTTAATAATCAGCTGATCAAAATTAATCAGCTGTCATTATTTAAAAGTAAGTAAATTAAATAAAATATTATTGTCAACAATCTTGCTATCAAAGTTAACCTAAAAAAAATTTTTTTATTTAAATAATTGTTATATATTAATTATTTGACAAATAGATTTTTTCAAAAGAATTATTTTAACAAAAATTGCATTTTTTATTTATGAAAATTAATTTAGCAGATATTTAACAATTTTTCTAACAAATAAATTGTGGAAAAAAAAAAAAATTGGCATGTAGAAATTTTAAATGCAATTTCTTAACAATAATTTTTTATAGTTAATTTAATTGTTAACTTGACAGCTGATAATTTTTAAATAATTTATTTGTTCAAAAAAATTATTATATTTTTTTTTTTAGATATGAAGATTAATTATTGAATCAAGATCAGCTGTGAAAAAATAAAAAAAATGGTGACTGAAAATAAAGAGCCTGAAAAAAGAATCAACAAATCAATCGGCTACAGAAAAGTTCCCAACAGAATCCACGATCGTATGATAGATAATTCTTTAGCACACAATTTTATTGTACCTGATGATGAAAACTTGAAAAAGAAGGTCTTGGTTAAAACCAAGATCTTCAATCGTTTGCTGAGGCTGAATAATTACAGCTACAATAGGTATGTACAGCTGAAAAAAAAGATGATAGAATTTCTGGCTGATGTGGAGAATATTGAAAGCTTGGATAATATTGATCATATTTTTGATAAATTTGTCTTCCCAATTGACGAGGAAGAACCTGTAAGGATTGTTGGAGATATTAGTGATAGTGCTGATAATTCTGATGATGATGATCATGATAATTCGGAATCAGCTGATAGTGAGGAAGCTGGAGCTGAATTTAAGGTAGAAAAGGTTGATTTTGATCATCAAGGTGATAAATTTGTAATATCAGGTCAGAATCTAAGTGATGATATTGATATTGAAGATGATAAATCTTTATTGTTAGCTCATAGTCAGGAAAAAGTTGATGAATCTTTATTATCAGGTCATAATCAAAATGAAGATGATATTGATATTGAAGATGATAAATCTTTATTTCTGGTTAATGGTCATGATAAAGTTGATGATATTAATGTTCAGGGTGGTGAATTTTTAGTAACTGAACAGAATCAGGGTATTGTTGGTAGTCAGGATGATAAATCTTTAGTTTTAGGGAATGATGTTGATGATCAGGTTGATGAATCATCAAGACCAGGTCATAAAGTTGATGATCATGTTGATGAATCATCAGGACCAGGTCATAGTCAAGATATTTTTGATGAATCATTAAGATCAGGTCATGGTGATGATCAGGTTGATGAATATTTAAGATTAGGTCATAAAATTGATGATCAGGTTGATGAAATTTCAGGACCAGGTCATAAAATTGATGATCAGGTTGATGAAACTTCAGGATTGGGTCATAGTCAACATAAAATTGATGAATCATCCAAACCAGGTCATAAAGTTGAAGTTCATGATGATGAATCATCATTATCAGGTGAAAGTCAAGCTCAAGTTGATGAATCATTAGGAGCAGCTCACGATAGTCACGATAAAATTGATGATCAGGTTGATGAATCATCAAGACCAGGTCTTGAAATTGATAAATCATCAAGATCGGGTCATAAAATAAATGATCAGGTTGATGAAACTTCAGGACCAGGTCATAGTCAAGATATATTTGATGAATTTTTAGAATCAGATCATAGTGAAGGAAAATTTGATGATCAGGTTGATGAATCTTCAGGACCAGGTCATAAAATTGAAGTTCTAGATGATGAATCATCATTATCAGATCATAGTCAACTTGTAATAGATGATCAGGTTGATGAATCTTCAGGACCAGGTCATAAAATTGAAGTTTATGATGATGAATTATCATTATCAGGTCATAGTGAAGCTCAGGTTGATGAATCATCAGAACCAGGTCATAATCAACATAAACTTGATAAATCATCAAGACCAGGTCATAAAGTTGAAGTTCATGATAATGAATCATCATTATCAGGTCATAGTGATGACCAAATTGATGATCAGGTTGATGAATCATTAATATCAGGTCATAGTCAACATAAAATTGATCAATCATCAAGACTAGGTCATAAAGTTGAAGTTGATGATGATGAATCATCATTATCAGGTCATGATGATGACCAAATTGATAAATCATTAATATCAGGTCATAGTCAACATAAAATTGATGAATCATCAAGACCAGGTCATAAAATTGAAGTTCATGATGATGACCAAATTGATGATCAGGTTGATGAATCATCAGGACCAGGTCATAAAGCTGAAGTTGATGATTTTATTGAAGAAAATTCCATTGATTTTGATACTTTAAAATACTTTCCATTAATTTTAGAAGGTCAAGATCATGAAAAACAATCTTTAACTGCAAAATCAGATGGTGAAAGTGAAAGTGATGATCAAGATAGAATAAGCGAAATCAATCAAGATTTAATTGAAGAAAATTCATTAGACTCTGATGGAAGATTGGAAATTATATCCAAGTCTGGATCAGAAGCAGACATTGCTTCTCAGAATTACAATTCACCAATTAAAACTCAAGCTAGAGTCAGTGGAAATGATATAATTGTAGATCATCCATCAGATAAATCAGAATTTCAGGATCTAGATGATGATTTTATTGAAGAGAATTCTTCAGAGTCTGATGGAGAGAAGCTTTGTATATCCAGATCAGAGTCAGAGCATGATGCTAATAGTCAGGATGGCAAAAATAATAAGGTTATGGTTGAAGATGATGACTTAGACTCTGATAGTCCAAGGCTTTTTTTGTCAAGATCAGAGTCAGAAGTTGAAAGCAATGATGGAACATCAGGAAAATTAGAGACTGAAGATGATGTAGATTTTGTTGGAGGACAATCTTTAATTAAGTCTAAAGAAGATACTGTTCAAAAGACAGGTCATGAAGAAGATGATGAAGATGATGGAAAATCTGTAACTTCTCAATCAAAACAAGAAGATTATGACAATGATAATGATAATGAAGAAGATGATGATAGCAATAAAGAGTTAGCTTTACCAGTTTTTAATAATAATGATAATAGAAATAATAAAGATGACTATGATGATATTATAGACAAAAGTGTGATACTTAGTTTTCCTGATTTGGATAAAGATGACAATGGTAAGTATTCATTTTTAATTAATTCAGATAATAATAATAATAATAAAAACTTTTTCAGATTTCGAGACTACAGAACATTTAATAAAATCAGAATTAGAAATTAATGATGAAGAAATTCAGTCCAGTTATAAATCGCCGACTTCTGATGATGATGATGATTCTCAAATTGAAACTGATGATGATAGTATCAGCAAATTATCATCTTCTTTAATGGATGAAAATTTGGTTAAAAAAATTCCAGAAAACAACAAAATACATTCTGAACCTGGACCCAAAGTCATAAATGACAATAGTCGATCACCAGTAATTGACCATGACAACTCCAGTTGTCAATCTTCTCAAGGAAGAAGCAAATGCCAGTTAAAAATAACCAGCAACCAGGTCGTAGTTTCAAAGTACACCATCATCAAGGACAGACCTAAGCCCCAACCTGAATCTCCAGCTGCCAGTAGGAATTCTTCCGATGATGATGATGAAGAACAGCAAGTGGTGAAGAAAAGCAAGCTGGCTAGAGCGGTTAGTCCAGAGCGGCGGCCCAAAAAGCAAGCTTCTAAAGAAAATGAGCAAGATGATGAATATGACAGTGAAGAAGAATTGATTAAATACATGAAGCGCAAAAGGTCTATGGTGAAGACTAAGAAGAAGTTCGGAGGAAAATCTTTGACCAGTCCGACTATCGAAGACTCGCTTAAGTTTGTTAGGAAGAAAATGTTACCTTTCAGTGATTATTATCAGTCGACTGAGAATGAACAAGGAAACGCTTCGATGGTTGATGATTATGACTCTTCAGACTATTCTGAGAGCGATTATGTTCTTGATAAGGATGCAGAAGCTTCTTATATTCACTACAATGACGTAAGAATTACTTTTTTTTACTTGATTTGTTGTTTAAATCTTATTCTTAAATATTTAACAATTTGCTTGCGAGAGAAATTTACTAAAAACGCCACCTGTTGGCCGAATCTTTAAGTATAAGGTTGTGGAGGGGGTTTATGACGTCATAAGAGGTTAGCAAACGAGCAGAGAGTGTGTTTTAATACGCGAAGCGCAGAAAATGCTCTTTTTTAAATAGTTATTGTTAAAAAAATTTTTTTTTTGATAAATTAAGTACATTAACGTTATACTTAGGATAAAAAATTGTTTTTTTAATTAATTAATTTTTTTTTTTAGATTGATCAATACGCTGAAAGCAAAAATTTACAAGATTTGTATTTAGAGACGACTTTTGCTTATGAAGATTTGAGCGAAGATGATGAAATTTTTATGATGGAGGTTCCTAAATCTGTAAGTAATTTTTTAATTGATTAATTGACTAGTTTTTTTTTTTTCTTTATTTTTTTAAATATTGTAAAATTAATTTTTTGATGTAGATTATTGAGAAAGGAAATTTAGAAGGCCAACAAATGAAACTTAAAAAGAAATATTTGGAAATTGGTGATACTAGGTATAATATAAACCGAGTTGAAGATAATGAAATTAATTTGGTTTTAAAGGATAATCATTATGATGATTCTTATCGAATAGGTAAAAATATTTATTATTATTATTAAATAATTTAATTTGAGAATTTTTTAATATTGTATGGTAAAGTTTAAAATTACTTATAATTAATTTCTTTTTAATTAAATTAAAAATAATTTTGAAATTTAGTTTAAAAAAAAATTTTTTTTAATAATTTTTGAACTAAGATTTAATTAAAAAAATATTTTGAATAATTTTTAAACTTAATTTAATTAAAGATTTTTTTTTTAAATAATTATTTAACTAAATTTAAGTTAAAAATTTTTTTAAATAAATAAATTTAATTTCAGAAAATATTCAACCAATAAAGTCAATTATAATCCACGAGCCTAAATCATCAGCTCCAGATGACGATGATGAAATTGATGACTCAGAGGAACCCAAAATATCATTTCCAAAGAATTTAAAAACAAGAAATCCTCTAGAATTAAATAAACATCCAATTAAAGTGACTTCCAAAAGAAAAATTGACCTAAAAAATAATTCACTAAAATTAAAAAAGAAAAAATTAATAAGTTAACTATTTAATATTTTTTTTAAGGACTGTAAATATTGTATATTAATATTAATAATAACAAAAATAGAAATTAACTTTAGTTTGTTTATTTTTTTAAAGGTTGTTATTAAAAAAGTAATTGTTTAAGATGTTTCCATAGCAGAGGTGGTTTCTTCAGTGTATTTGCCCTTGTCCTTGCCCAGCGCAGCAGCACGTCCCTTGCTTCGCCTGTCGATAATGTTTTTACGGTCTTTGTCCATCTTCAATTTGACAATTACAGTCTGAAAATTTTCAAATTTTTAATTAATTCAAGTAATTAGAGTAGTAAAGAAATATTTATTTTTTTTTTATTAAAAAAATCAGGACCATTATTTCTACAGCAATCAAGCTGATTTGAAGCTCAGTTTTGCTTGACAGGAAAACCCTGAAAAGCTATACTTTACAGCAAACCATAGGCTTAATTTTACGAGAATGGTTTGGTTCATCATGTTAATTAAAAAGTTCATTTTAAAAATATCATAAGTTGATAAAATACAATATAATTTCTCAATTATTGACATTATTAAAGATATAAGCTCATCCTAACATTACACTCATCAAGACCTTTCATTTGAGTACCCACATCGATTTTTCATATATTTTATATATTGTATATATATATATATGTATATATGAAAAATATATCAAAAATGCATGTGGGTACTCAAATGAAAGCTCTTGATGAGTGTAACATCGGGATGAGCTTATAACTTTAAAATATGAGTTATATATATTAAATAATTAAGAAATGACCTTGTATCTTGTAAAATATTGACATTTTCAAAGATATAAGCTCATTCTGATGTTACATTCATCAAGACCTTTCATTTGAGTACCCACATCAATTTTTCATATATTTTATATATTTATATATATTGTATATATGTATATATGAAAAATATATAAAAAATGCATGTGGGTACTCAAATGAAAGCTCTTAATAAGCGTAACATCAAGACGAGCTCATATCTTTAAAAATGTCAATAGTTAAAAAAATACAGTGCAATTTATCAATAGTCATTATTTAATAAAGCAATGACTGCAAAGTTGCTCGTATTTATTAAAAAAAAAAAATAAAATAGTACCTTTGATGGATCAATGCCGACATAAACACTGGCACTGTTGGCTTTTTCACGCTGAATTCGCTCAATGTAAACAACGAATTTTTTACGGTAAACTTGGATTACTTTTCCAACTTGTTGGCCTTTGTAATGACCACGGACAACCTTAAAAAAATAAATTTCATCCCTAATTACTAAAAATTCATTATAAATTTTATAAATAAAAAATTACTATCATTTTATTTTTTAAAAAAATGACATTTATAAACTTTTACAAGTAAAATTTTTTTCTACAATTATTTAATTGTTAAAACATTAATAATAATAATAATAATAAAAATTCACATTTAATTTTTTTTTTAAAATAACAACTGAGTTAATGACACTAAAAATCAGCTGATATTCATTAATTTTTCAACTTACTAAAAGAACTTAAATCAAAATATTTAAAAAAATTCTAACTTGTAATTTTTTAATCACTAAAATTGATAGTTTTGTTTTTCAATAATAAAAACTTTAAAAATTTTACACTAAAAATACTCCAAAATAAATAACTAACCTGTACTTCATCGTCTTTGCGGATTGGCATGGAACGAACATTATATTTTTGTCTCAACTCTTTGGACAAAGGAGCAGACATGAGCCGCCGACGTATGTGGGAAGGTGCTGTGAAATGGCGCTTACGGTTCTTCCTCCTCGAGGACGATACACTGCAGTTGAATTTCATCTTGCACCGTTTTCAATCTAAAGAAATAAATATAATAAATTAATTACTCAACAATACCAAAAAAATAATTAATAAAAAAAAAAAAAAAATGTCACGTGAAATTAGAGGTTAGAATTCTATTTGACACATTTAAAAAAATCCCAAAAGAATATCCGAAAAATATTTAAAAAATTCAATAGCCCCCTAAATAATTTAAAAATAAAAAATAAAATATTTAATTAATAAAAATGATTAATTAATGATTTTAATGGATTTTATTTTAATGTACGACTCACCGATGCACCTTCTAAAGATCTTGGAAAATAAAGAGTGAGAGGAGCCATTGCTGATCCTAAGACAGTAGATGCCAGCGCCAAAAAGCCCAAGTGGTGTTTTATGGAACTAAAACAGCTGGTGGTAAGTCAGAAATAAAATGGCGGCTTTAATTTTTATTTTATTTTGTCAAAAAAATTATTACAACTGTTAAAATAATTATTTTAATTGTAATTAATTAATTAAAAATTATTAAACAGCTGATTTTTATTTTTAAATAATATTTTAAGTGTTTTAAAAACAAAATGGAGTCTTTAATTTTTGCAATTTTTGCTTGTCATTATTTTTTGTTAGAATAATTATTAAAAAATAATTACAAGTGTTAAAAATCATTATTTTATTTTTTAATTAATTAAAAAAAAAATTTTAAACAGCTGATTTTAATTTTTAATTTTAAAAACAAAATGGAGTCTCCATCTGTCAGTTTTTTTTGCTATTAAATTTAATAATTTTACTAATAATAATAATATTTAATTGCAGGCCTTGTGACGTTAAAACATGACAGAGATATGATATGTGATATATATTTGTTCTTTGTTTTTTTTTTATTCACCATGTTTATTTCGCAATAACAATACTTGGAAGAATAATAAAGATTTATATTGATGATGCTGATGGTGACAATCTAAACAACTAAACAATAATAATAATAATTGTTGGATATTCATTGGTGGTGTTGAATGTTGTGAGTTATTGTTATAAGTTGGATGAAAATTCAAGTGCGTAATAATAATTACTTGTTAGTGAATAAATAAAAATAATAAATAAATAAATATGGGATCTTCAAGACCTCCAGACAGATCTCTAGGCAGTGGAATATCATTTCCACAGTGGATGAAAGGAAAAGTTGATAGTAGGCAAGTATTTATTTTTATTGTTATTGTTATTGTGTTTTTTTTTTTTTTTTTTTAATAGTGGTAATAATAATAATAATAATAATAATAATAATATTGTGATACTTTAATCATAAAAAACAGCTGATTTTTGGAAGGTTGCTTTTTTTTTTGGAGGAGAAAATTGTGTTGTTATTTTGACAGGTGGATTATTAAATGTCAAAAATTTTATAACAAAATTCAACATTTATATATAAAAAAAAATAATTTTTTAGAATAATTAATTTAATTAGAAAAAAAAAAAAGTTGCCACATTTTAGCTGATTTTAGTATTATGAAATTTATTGGATTTTTAAATGAAAAAAAATCGGAATCTTTAGATCTTATTAGACTGCATTGACGCTCATAATCATAGAAAGAAATTTAGATAATGTTTTGATTAATTACAGTAATATATTTTGGTAATAATTACATTGAGATTTAAATTCTAAGTATCTTTGTCCAAAAAATTACACTTTGGAACTGCAATGACGCTCAAAATCAATGCAATAAATTTTTAATATTTTTTTTCTCTTTATTTATAGATACATAATTAAAAAATTACTCTATATCTTGTAAACTAATGACATTTTTAAAGATATAAGCTCATCCTTACATTACACTTATCAAGACCTTTCATTTGAGTACCCACATGCATTTTTGATATATTTTATATATTTATATATATAATATATATGTATATATGAAAAATATATCAAATATACATGTGGGTATTCAAGTGAAAGCTCTTGATGAGTGTAACATCAAGATGAGCTTATATCTTTAAAAATGTCAATTATTAAGAAATGACCTTGTATCTTGTAAACTATAGACATTTTTAAAGATATAAGCTCATCTTGATGTTACACTTTTCAAGACCTTTCATTTGAGTACCCACATCAATTTTTCATATATTTTATATGTTTGATATATGTATATATGAAAAATATATTAAAATGCATGTGGGTACTCAAATGAAAGCTCTTGATGAGTGTAACATCGGGATGAGTTTATATTTTTAAAAATGCCAATAGTTAAGAAAGTACAGTGCAATTTAACAAAATTCATTATTTAATAAAGCAAAATTTTAGTTCACAAGTCACGGAAGTCACATAGTGACTACAAAGTTGCTAGTTCTAATAAAATTGCATTATAATTCACTGTAAAATTTTTTTTCACCTAAATAACATCATTATTATTTTAAATTGACGCTCAAAATTAATGCAGTAATTTTTCTCAGGATCTATTTATCCAATTAATTAATTAAAAATTTTAATTTGTCCTTCACATTGACCTTAAGCACCCATAATTTAAATAATACAAAAAACAAATTAAATTTTTATGTTATAAATTAATATATGTAGATAATTTTCTCATTTACACAGATTTACTCGAGACCTTTCATTTGAGTACCCACATCAATTTTTCATATATTTATATATATTTATATATATATGAATATATAAAAAATATATCAAAATGCGTGTGGGTACTCAAATGAAAGCTCTTGATGAGTGTAACATCGGGATGAGTTTATATTATCAAAAATGTCAATAGTTAAGAAAGTACAGTGCAATTTAACAAAATTCATTATTTAATAAAGCAAAATTTTAGTTCACAAGTCACGGAAGTCACATAGTGACTACAAAGTTGCTAGTTCTAATAAAATTGCATTATAATTCACTGTAAAATTTTTTTTCACCTAAATAACATCATTATTATTTTAAATTGACGCTCAAAATTAATGCAGTAATTTTTCTCAGGATCTATTTATCCAATTAATTAATTAAAAATTTTAATTTGTCCTTCACATTGACCTTAAGCACCCATAATTTAAATAATACAAAAAACAAATTAAATTTTTATGTTATAAATTAATATATGTAGATAATTTTCTCATTTACACAGATTTACAATGATGCAATAGCACTAAAAGCTCGCTTAAAAATAATCAAACTCTAAAAATATTCCATCCGCTCGAGCATTAAGTGACACTATGAGCTGCTGATCTGCCAATTTTCACTCTGAATAACTTAATGAGGTCGTCTTTTTATTTTATAGGTTCGACTTCGACCAAAGTACATTCAGTCCACCGTCTCACGACGACAGTTTTTTCTACATAAGCTACAACAAATTGGGATCCAGACAATCGACCTCGTCTTCAACAGCTGAACCTAAGGAAGGCTTTCAGTCTATTAATTCTGTTTTGAGTGAAAATCCAGTTGTCGTTAAAGCAGCGGCAAATATTCCGGTTAAGAATGCCAACATTGACCTGAGCAAGCATCCAATCGCCTGTCAACAGTCTTTTACTTCTGCGTTCAAGGGTACCTCCAATATTAATTGAGAAAAAATTGGATTAATTTAATTTATAAAACTCTTAAAATTAATTTTTAAATATCAGAAAAATTTTTAGAAGTTTAGACAATTTATAAAATTAAATTAATCTTTTATGTTATTGAAAAAATAAAAAAAATTTTTTCTCCAGGATACATAATTAAAAAATGACCTTGTAACTTGTGAAATATTGACATTTTTAAAGATATAAGCTCATCCTGAGATTATACTCATCAAGACCTTTCATTTGAGTACCCACATCAATTTTTCATATATTTATATATTTATATATATATATTATATATATGTATATATGAAAAATATATCAAAAATGCATGTGGGTACTCAAATAAAAGCTCTTGATGAGTATAACATCAGGATGAGCTTATACTTTTAAAATATATGTTATATAATTAAGAAATAACCTTGTATCTAGTGAAATATTGACTTTTTCAAAGATATAAGCTCATTTCAATGTTACACTCATTGAGACCTTTCATTTGAGTACCCACATGCATTTTTAATATATTTTTCATATATACATATATATAATATATATAAAAATTGATATGGGTATTCAAATGAAAGGTCTTGATGAGTGTAAAATCGGGGTGAGCTTATATCTTTAAAAATGTCAATAGTTCACAAGATAAAAGGTCATTTCTTAATTATGTGTCTAGAAATAGAGTATTTTTGAATGCAGCCTAAA